AGAGAGAGAGACCAGAGAGAGATGCCAGAGACCAGAGAGAGACATAGAGAGAGACCAGAGAGAAAGAGACCCAAGAGGGAGACCTGAGAGAGAGACCCGAGAGAGAGACCTGAGAGAGAGACCAGAGAGAGAGACCAGAGAGAGAGACCAGAGAGAGAGACCAGAGAGAGAGACCAGAGAGAGTGAGAGACCAGACTGAGTGAGAGACCAGAGAGAGAGAGACCAGAGAGAGAGACCAGAGAGAGTGAGAGACCAGAGAGAGTGAGAGACCAGAGAGAGTGAGAGACCAGAGAGAGTGAGAGACCAGAGAGAGTGAGAGACCAGAGAGAGTGAGAGACCAGAGAGAGTGAGAGACCAGAGAGAGTGAGAGACCAGAGAGAGTGAGAGACCAGAGAGAGTGAGAGACCAGAGAGAGAGACCAGAGAGAGAGACCAGAGAGAGAGACCAGAGAGAGAGACCAGAGAAAGAGACCAGAGAGAGACCAGAGAGAGAGACCAGAGAGAGTGAGAGACCAGAGAGAGTGAGAGACCAGAGAGAGTGAGAGACCAGAGAGAGTGAGAGACCAGAGAGAGTGAGAGACCAGAGAGAGTGAGAGACCAGACGGAGTGAGAGACCAGAGAGAGACCAGAGAGAGAGACCAGAGAGAGAGACCAGAGAGAGACCAGAGAGAGTGAGAGACCAGACGGAGTGAGAGACCAGTGAGAGACCAGAGAGAGTGAGAGACCAGAGAGAGTGAGAGACCAGAGAGAGACCAGAGAGAGAGACCAGAGAGAGAGACCAGAGAGAGAGACCAGAGAGAGAGACCAGAGAGAGAGACCAGAGAGAGAGACCAGAGAGAGAGACCAGAGAGAGAGACCAGAGAGAGACCAGATAGAGACCAGAAAGAGACCAGAGAGAGACCAGAGAGAGACCAGAGAGAGACCAGAGAGAGACATAGAGAGAGACCAGAGAGAGAGAGACCCCCGAGGGAGACCTGAGAGAGAGACCAGAGAGAGAGACCAGAGAGAGAGACCAGAGAGAGTGAGAGACCAGACTGAGTGAGAGACCAGACTGAGTGAGAGACCAGACTGAGTGAGAGACCAGAGAGAGTGAGAGACCAGAGAGAGTGAGAGACCAGACGGAGTGAGAGACCAGAGAGAGACCAGAGAGAGAGACCAGAGAGAGAGACCAGAGAGAGAGACCAGAGAGAGAGACCAGAGAGAGAGACCAGAGAAAGAGACCAGAGAGAGAGACCAGAGAGAGAGACCAGAGAGAGAGACCAGAGAGAGACCAGAGAGCGTGAGAGACCAGAGAGAGTGAGAGACCAGAGAGAGTGAGAGACCAGAGAGAGAGACCAGAGAGAGAGACCAGAGAGAGAGACCAGAGAGAGAGACCAGAGAGAGAGACCAGAGAGAGAGACCAGAGAGAGTGAGAGACCAGAGAGAGACCAGAGAGAGTGAGAGACCAGACGGAGTGAGAGACCAGTGAGAGTGAGAGACCAGAGAGGTTTGGACTGAGCGGGCTGGCCAAGCCCCCTATAACGCTCATGATGTTCGTTTTTCCCCCCCCCCCCCCCCCCCCCCCCCCCCTAGTGGTCGGTTTATTAACTCTATATGATCTATTGATCTTAGACCCATTTTAGTGTGCCCCTCCACCCAGAACACGATTGGGCTTACAAGGATGTTAAAAGGTTGGACAAAAATTACTGCTGACTCTTGTCATAACCCATGTATTCAATCACTCTCAAGTCAGATTCACTTTTCGATGTAATCCCCACAGGAGCAATTAAAAAAAGCGACGGAGACTTGCACTGGTTACATGCTAAATATGCTCACAATCACCAAACACAGTAAATACATACACACACATCATCTCATCCAGTCCTACACCATCGTATCCATCCTATGCATCCAAGCGGTTTTTACACTTCGCTGGGGTTTAAGAGACGCGTCTGGTGTTCAAGACCGCCAGCGCATTTCAGCAGTTTCCTGAATCACTGTTGGATACAAAAGTGGATCGCACTACTCTGCGCTGCTCTGTGTGTCCAGTTCTCCGAGCACACGCCTACCTCCCCTGAAGTACAGCACTTCAAACATCAGAGGTTAATATGTGATGAACCATGTAGCAGGTTCGTCCATGAAGTGCCTAAAGGCCATCTCTCATGTTTGCCGTCTTCCTGGTCATCGATCCTGTATGGTCATGTCATGTCTCGTATTTTATGTTTTATATTATTTGTCATTTAAATTGTATTATGTGATACTATATGTAAAATTATATGATTTATTGCTTATTACTATCGTTGCCTACAAACACATAATAAAGTATTAGAGGAAAATCTGTTTGTGTGCACATTCAACCAAGAATTTGTGTCCGTCATGTGCTGTCGAGACATGGACGAGAGTGCCCCGTGTACAATCACTCGATCCATCTAGTTTCCAGGGGAATTATGGGAATTAATGTGCATATACAGGGAAAATCGCAAAAATCTCTAGACTGTATTGATTCCAAAACTGACAGGTTTGGCTAATTCAGAGGGAAGACATAAGTTGAGTGAAAGTATGTTTTACGTCAGAGCTACTATATCATAATTGATGCAAACATATCGACTTGAATTTCCACTGACGCTACTTCCTACGATCAACAGGCCCACATGGTACACAGAGGACAGCGCCCCCTCCTGGCCCAGTGCCTCCGTCCACATCCGAGGTTTGGCGACAGGCTCAGATTTATAGACACGTCTTTCAGTATGTAAGCATTTGATGATTATAGATGGAGAATGAAACATAGTAGTGCCACATTAAATATGAAATGACTTCAAAGTATCGTTTACTATAAGTAGATTCAGATCCACCTTTGTAAACACATTCGGTCTTATCCACCTAAACTAAAACACCATGTTTACTATGTATAGCATATACTGTAATGTTTGGTATTTTCTAATCGTATTCATTTAATTTTAACAATAATCAATTCTTTCTCCTTGCTTCATACATGTGTTAAAACCATATCCAAACCGCATGACGCAAAACTGCCATAAATCCAGTAGCTCAGTGTGAGAAAGTCGTGGCCCCCAATAGTTATATGTCTCTTATGTATGTTCTCAGAATGTGTAGCAGCAGAAGAACAACACGCTACGATCACATAAAACTCTCCTGCCTTCCCTCCAGTTCATTTGCTCATAAACCATTACTTATTCATCAGGAAAGGATCGAGAGTGTTTCAGGAGAGACAACCAGAATACCTGGGTCTATGGAACATTGAGGAGCTAAGAATTAAAGAGTGCAGTCGATACTCGGACTCAATGTTTACCTGGCAGAACCAATCTCAACAATCCGCCACACTGCCCAAGATCCTGAGCCCTGTGGATGTGCTTTTTAACATACTCATTTATTTCGACTCGCTGTTAGTAAGGTAAGGTTAATCTTTGATTTTGCACAGTATACCGCCCTATTTCGCGTCCAGAGAAATGCAGATTCAGCGTCTCCAAGCGCGTGTTTCTTTTTTTTGGGGCACTTGCACTTCACTTCATCACACAGAGTGGGAGCGCGAGAAGCTGGAGCCAGACTTGGATGGCGCATGCAGATACTGGTTGTTCAGGTTTTTTAGTGGCTAATGGAGTAGTCTAAAATCGGAGTTACCACGGAGGCCAACCTACGTGCAGTACAACGGGGGTAGTAGAACATGCAAACTCCACTCAGAGATACAAAGTGCCCTTGTTATGGCCAACTGCGGATCGGAATATACGAACCAGAGGACCTATCTTGCTGAGATGGGCTGCGGAGTAGGATTCGTAGGAACCTATAGTACACATTAGGTGAACGTAATGATGGGGAATGAGTTTTGAAACGTCTGAGTGTCACCATGGAGAGTCTCGAGCATGTGGCCAGTTTGGTGCGTGTGTGTTTGTTACTAGGTTCCGCGTGAGAGACACGACGTGATGCAGTATGGCGAAGCTAGCCAGTATTTTGAAGCCACCATGTCATGCGCAATCCACAGTCACGTATCACCATGAAATCATGGCCGCCCTCGCGCCATCATTATTGAGAGTTACTGTATTTTCATGGTTCTTGAAATGTAAAGGTCCCCTTCGTTATAAAGCATTTTCATTAATACAAGACCATCATTATGAAGTCCCTCACGGCTGGTCACACACGATGGACTTTGATAGACTGGAGCAGATATTGAGTAGAGATATCACCCAAAATGCTAGTGTCTTCGGCGGTTAGCCTACAGAAAAGAAAAGAGGCCTTAAAAAAGAGAAAATCAAAAAAGCCTAAAAAGAAGCCGTTGAAAAAATAAAAAATAACAGAGCGGACTGCCCAATGTGCGAAAAACCAGTAACTTTCCCAGGAGGCTAGTGATTGGGTGTGTGGGAGGGATTTGCGAGGAAAGGCCTACAACTTGTAGGTGGGAATCTGGAAATTCCCTTCTACAATCACTCATGTGCTATGAGGCCATGGGAGCAACGCATTGAATTCTCCACTACAGAGAGCTGGACTATCTGTCGACGGGATACATGGGAAATGTGATCTCGAGAGCAATGTAGGTTACTTCTCTTCCTAATCAGGAACAGTAGAAGGCTTCGTGAGGTTATTAGATACAACCAATCAATAAGCGTCGCACCATATGCTGAAATCAATTAGTATAGTGGGTTTAGGTAAAGATTTGAGTAGATTTTGCTGAGTGTTTGGATATCCTCAGTAAGGGAGATAACTCAGTTGAGTGCTTTACAACCGTTGTATTGGGCGTGGACGTCCGAACAACGGTACTATATCACCTACTAGAGAATAGAGAATTGGAAGATATGTAATTGAAGAATCCGTTATATACCCAGACCAGCACCTGTCGTGCCAGAACCTTGGGTCCTGGAGAGACCACATGCTCCTCCGCCCTGGACTGGAGTAACCACACTGTCCTACGCAGAACCTTAGTCCCCTGGAAGTAGGAGAGAGAGCGGAAGAGAAGCCAGCACTTGCTCTCCGAGGCACCTAGCGTCCTGGAGAACCGAGAACCACTACTGCATGCCTCCGCCAGACACCTGGATTGTGGCCCCTCCCTCCATGATGTCCATTAAAAAAGTACCAAGGCAGTTGAGTTCCGCTCACGTGCGCAGGAGGCGGTACCTCACACTATAGTATGGTTGTCAGCGCGAACACTAAGCGCTTTCAAGACGAAGGTCTAGCTTTAAGTCTGCACGCGCAAAGTGATTTAATTTCATCTTTATGATATTCTTGTCATGATGATCAGTTAATGTTGTAATATATGCCATTTTACACAAACATAGGAACCTCTATACAGTCAATACAAGCACACCGACGAAGTTCAATTTTTTAATCTAATATCGCTGCTCATTGAATTAGTTAATAGTCTGTTATGTGTCGTGTTTATGTTCGCCGAAGACACCTAGATGCTACTTGCACCCTGTCAGACCATACCCTCGCTGTGACAGACTGCCCCACCAAGTCCAGCTGTAATGATGTCGTGCCTAAAGCGTCTTAAATGATAAGGGTAGGCGACCTAGTGAGACTGCTCTCATTGCTTTTTTCCAAAACCATTGATTATAATTTAGGACACAATGCCACCATGGTAGAGTCGTATGAGACGGTTATACCAAAGAGAAGCTTTGTAAAAGTCCGGAAGTCTTCCTCTCCACCTGTCTGCCAAGCTTGGCTTAGAGAGATAATGGGTGTATTGCACATTGAAAGAACGAGGTACGAGCTGGCTGGCAAGCCCCATAACCTCATGAGGTGTGGAAACCTATACTGATCTATCTGAACCTTTAGTGTGCCCCCTCCACCCAACCCATGGGCTTACAAGGATGTTAAAGTGGACAATAATTACTCTGACTTTGTATACCCATGTATCAATCAATCAATCAATCACTTTATTAATCCCCAAGGAGCAATTAAAAAGCACGGAGAGTTGCAAGTTACATGCTAAAATGCTCAATAAATATCACATAAATACATACACACACACATCCTCCATCCATCCATCCATCCATCCATCCATCCATCCAAGCGTTTTAACACTTCGCTGGGGTAATGACGGGTCCGAGTTCAGCAGCTGAATCACTGTTGGAACAAAAGTGGATTCCCTACTCTGCGTCCTACATCCCACCGAGCACAGCCTCCTCCCTGAAGACAGCCACTCAAACACAGGGAAGAGAACATGAGCAGGTTCTCCCAGAATCCTATAGGCCACTCTCATGGCCTGCTGATCATGCTGGTTGTCATGTCTGTAATTTTTGTTTTAATATTTGTCATTTAATTGTATTTGTAATCTGAAAATTATTATTATTATTATTATGTTCCTACAAATAATAAAAGTATTAGAGGAAAATCTGTTTTCACTTCAACCCTAGATTTTTTCAGTATGGCTGTCGAGACATGGAGGTGCCCCAGTGTACAATACGATCCATCTCAGTTTCCAGGGGAATTTATGTGAATTAATGGGAATATACAGGAATTAACTCAACTGTGATTTTCCAAAACTGAAGGTTGGCTCTTCAGAGGAAACATAGTTGAGGAAAGTATGTTTTAACTTGACTAAATCAAATAGATGCAAAATTCCACTTGAATATCCATGACATTCCTCGATCACAGGCCCACAGTACACAGAGACAGCGCCCCCTACTGGCCCAGTGCCTCCGTCACATACAGAGAGTTCTGGCGACAGGCTCAGATTTACACGTCTTCAGTGAAGCTTTGATGATAAAATGGAGAAACTGTTCTCACAAATAAATGTAATGTATGTTACTATAAGTGTTCAACCCCTTTGTAACCACATGGTCTTTCCCCTAACCAAACACATGTGTATATGTATACATATACAGAATGTTTTGATATTTTCATATTATATTTACATTTTAACAATAACAATTCATTTCTACTTGCTTCATAATGTGTTAAAAATATGAACAAAACTGCATAATTCCAGAGCTCAGGGAAAGTGTGGCCCATATAGTTCTGTTTTATGTTTCTCTTGTAGCAGAGAAGAAACACAGACGATCATTAAAACTCTCCTGTTCATTTGCAAAACCATTATTTTCCAGAAAGGAAGGATTTCAGGAAGAACTAACTCAAATACCTGCGTATGGAAACATTAGAGCTAGAATTAAAAAGTGCATCGTCTGGACTCAATGTTTAACTGGAACCAATCTCAACATCCGCCACCTGCACAAGACTGAGACCCGGTGTCTTTTTAAATACTCATTTATATCATATTAGTAAGTAAGTAATCTTTATTTATATACCGCCTTTTCGGTGCAGATCAGAGTCTCAAAGCGGTTTTCTTTTTTTTGGGCACTTGCACCTCTCACTTCACACAGAGATGGGAGCGGGGGCGCCAGTACAGGAGGCGCATGCCAGACCTATTGTACAGGTTTTTAGTGGTAGGGGAAACCGGAGTACCCGGAGGAAACCTACGCAGACACGGGGAGAACATGCAAACTCCACTCAGAAAGGCCCTGGTCCAACTGGGATTCGAACCCAGGACCTTCTTGCTGAGAGGCGAGAGTGCTATCCAGTAAGCCACCATGCCGCCATATTATTGAATATATTTTCATTGTAAAGTCCTTCGTTATAAAGATTTTCATTATAAAGTCCATTATGAAGTCCTCACAGACAATATTTACTGGAGCCTTATGAAATACAGACAGATCCCAATGAAAACTGTCAGAGGATCAGATCTAAATGTGGAATTCCTTCTACAACACCATGTGCTGATGCCAGAGCCACCTCAACAGGACTGAGGATAAATGTTGTTCCAGTGATGCGTTACTTATTACTAATCAGGAAGTAAGGTTAGAACACAAATCAATAACTCAATGCTAAAATCATAGATGGTTTTGTATTGATTTGAATGTGCGGTATCCTCAGTAGTAAATCAGTTGTGTGCTTTACAACCGTTGTTTTGGAGAGGCTTCAGAAAGGTACTTATTACACCACAGGAAGAAGATTCATTAATACAGACACAGCACCTGCTCCTCCAGAACCTGGTCCTGGAGAACCACACTGCTCCTCCAGCACCTGGACCTGGAGAACCACACTGCTCCTCCAGCACCTGGTCCTGGAGAACCACACTGCTCCTCCAGCACCTGGTCCTGGAGAACCACACTGCTCCTCCAGCACCTGGAGGTGGCCCCCCATGATGTCAAAAGACCAGCAGCTAGTCCGACAGCCGCAGAGAGGACCTCACCACAAGCTGCTGTCAGCGGAACACTGTTTAAGAGAAGGTTAAGTTTTTGTTCTGAAAGTATAATTTCTCTTTATGTTTCTGTATGTAGTTTTGTGTAATTATGCCTTTTACACAAACTAGGAAACTCTTACAGTCTATACATGAAACACAAGTTTTTTTCAACTTTCCTGCATCATTGAATTAGTTAAAGCTGTTTGTGTGTGTTTGTTCGAAGACACGTCTGCAACCTGTCAGACCATCCCCTTTGACGCTCCCCACATCCACTGATGATGTCGTGCCTTAAGCTCTTAATTGAAAGGGTGGCGACCTGCTGTGGCCGGAAGTGTCATTCTAATAAGAGGCATTAGGAGCAGAGGAAGTGAGTCTGTATCTATTAAAGTGTACTTCCTGTTGACGTCTCAGCAGGAGGCAGCATCTAATGAGTCTGATGTCGCTCAGCATCAAAGTCACAACTTTTATCCATAGAAAAAAGTGCAGGAGTTCATGCATTGTTTTTTTATAGTGCTTTTCTGGGCCCTCACAGACACTTCACCTGTCATTATTCACACCCTACTGTGATAAACATCGGCCCCTCACACCACCAACCATTCACCTACCAGACTCATTCTAATGTGGGTGAAATTTGAAGCCGCCCTGTGGCACCTGGTGTTCTTAAGTGTTCTCCCATCACAATACTAACCAGGCCCTGCCCTGCTTAGCTACAGAGGTCTGACAGGATGTGGTAGGGCTTGGTGATAAAACGATAACGATATATATCGTGATAGACAGGTGTTCGATATCAATGGAAAACGAGGTCGATAGAATGTTCAATAGTTCAACTTCACTCCGTTAGAAAAAACAGGAAGAAAACACAGGAAGTAAAGCCGAGTCAGAGGCGCGTGGCATTCTGGGGGATGCAAAAACAACAACCGCACCATGTGTAGCGTCCATGGATTTACAGATCGTGTTTCAATGCCGTGTCAATAGTTATGCTTTGTCCGTGCGCGGAATAGCATGTGCGTGTGAGAGGCAGTGCCCGTTGCATGCGGCGAAAGCAAGAGATGAACTTTTTCCTCTGAAAGCACTTGCGGCTATCAGAGAGGAGCACGAAGCCGTTACGGGGACAAAAGACACTGCCAAAACAGGAGCTAAACCAGGAATAAACCAGGAATAAACCAGGAATAAACCAGGACTAACAATGGGAGAGACTGCTTGTCAACATATGCCACCAGCCTCATTCCCCTGTGACTGCAAACAAGGCTGCTAACGTGTGTTAGCAGACACAACAAATGTATTTATTTTGGTTTAAAAAAGCAAAACAACAACAACCAATATATATAGTTATCAACCGATATGAATTACTTATCTTGTGATATAGTTTTCAGCCATGTCGCCCAGCCCTAGGATGTGGTGTTTTTGGGGGTACATGAAAGGGAAGAAAATTGTGTTCTAAAGAGTCAGAGGAGGTATGATTCCTGAAATCACTGATGTGGTGAAGAGTGAGCCGAGAGCTCTGGATTCACTTCCCAGTCTAGTTTCTAACCATAACCTACACCAATGAGCTTTGGGGAAGAACCTAAAGGACCAAATCACAGATATAAGTGGTCAGCCCAGCCTCCCTCTGCTGAGTGGCTGAATAACGTGCGTCAGAGCTGTGTCTCAGAGTGAGTGAGTAAATGCAGGTTGTCCTTTATTGATTCAGATGAGATTGATCTGACATTCAATAAGCCGCATTTAACAACCCTATTTTTAGTACTATTTTTGTCTGTTAGAACTTGTATTATGTTATTGTGTCTGACACCTAAGTCGGATTTTATAAAGTGTAGAATTTTAGAGTCCTGGGTCTAAAGCCTCAGTCCTGGATCTAAAGCCTCAGTCCTGGATCTAAAGCCTCAGTCCTGGATCTAATCTACAGCCTCAGTCCTGGATCTACAGCCTCAGTCCTGGTGGATCTAAAGCCTCAGTCCTGGGACTACAGCCTCAGGCCGGGATAAAGCCTCAAGCCTGAGTCTACAGCCTCAGTCCTGGATAAAACCTCATGCCTGGATCTACTGCCCGTCTGAATGTGGGCCTACCTCAGGTTTCTCAGTTTTCTTAGTAGTGAGGATCCAGGACACTCAACAACATTCAACGACATTTATAGACATTAGTCATCTGCCCCTTATGTTAACTGAGTGATGAACAAAGGTTTATCTCATGGACCAATGGCTCTTTATGTTATCTGAACTGAATACTGGAAGAATGCACTTGCTTAGTGGTTGCACATCTCAACAAATGAACCATTCACTAATTGGTGGAGTCAAGTGGGATCACCTCAGGATCCCCCTGATACTGCCAGAGTATAACCCTGGTTTTCAGTGTATAACGCCTTTGGATGAATCTGCAGACTATTTCATGGGAAGACTATCGTCCGTTGATACCCTGGAAGTATAAAGTGATTTTGTATAATTTACATTACGACATGTGGCAGTCGCCATTTTGTGCATAGTTCCAGTTCTGCGACCTGTGATTGGTCGTGAGGTTTGTTTAATGGAAGTCCTGAGAACCAATAGGCTCAGTCCCAGACTGATATTGGAATGTAATTTAAATTATCATTTTGGTAAATCATATGTGGCTAGATTATATGCTGTATGCTAAATTATATTGTCTGTATTGTAATTCAATTTAGCTCCAGGAAGCCTGGGGAGCTGATGTTAAACATCAGGAGGAAGCAGGCTTTTGAACATGCTAATAAGGAAGGTCTTGTCATTATTCTTTGCCCTGTGGGTTTTTCCTTTCCTATCTGCATACAAAGGTGTGTCTTGTAGTCAAAATGAACTTGCAGACTGTTGATTTTCAGATCTGGTCTGAGAGAGACCGGGCTCTGTGCCTCGTCTCTGTCAAGACTTTTTCTCCTTGTACAATGTAACAAGTAAAAGATTAACCATGTCTGTTTGTTGTGTGAGATTTTGTCAGGTTCAACTGTAGTTGAAACAGCATTAACATGCATGTTAACAGAATGTGCTTCTTTCAGGCTTGTAAACAGGTGTGGATGCCGGATTTCCACCGCAGGAGTTCCTGGTAAAAGGAGCGGGGTGGAACTTTTACAGGAACTGTCCTCTCCCTCGGTCCTCTCAGTGTCCGTGTCTCCACTGCAGAAAAGGACCACTCGGCAACGTCATGAGTTTCGATTGCCGCAAAAGCGAAACTCATTGCGCCATACCCGTCATTATTGATCCATACGCCAAAGCCATTTGTTTATTTTACGGTTGTAACCGCTCCAGTTGTTGTGGTCTTTGAGTCATTTTATTGTCCTGCTTAATATTAGGGCTGGGACTCGATAAAAAAAAAAAAAAATCTAATTAATTAGGGGCTTTGTAATCAATTAATCACAATTACTCACATTTTAATCGCATATAAATATTTGACCTGAGAACAATCAGAAGTAATTTTTTTCACATGGATTTTTAGTTTACCAATAAATAATGACCATCCAATAACGTTTCTGTCATTGCCTCCACACACTCTGACTGAAATAATGTACTTTTGAACTAAAAAAGTCACAGAGCTCGAGTTGGTGCTCCAGAACAATCGGTCCGTCTGAAACTCATCCAGTGAGGAACGTTCCGCAGTGCAAAAACCCATACAATTAAAATGCGTCCATTTAAAAAAAAAGAAAGGTCGTTAATTAATCTTAATTAACGCGTTAAAGTCCAGGCCCTACTTATATCTTTTAATTTCGCCGCAATGGCTCAAACCCCTTCTGAATCACTGTGCTGTTGTTCGTTGTTTCCAGTGGTGTCTGCTAAGCTAATGCTGCTGGGCTAATGCCGGTTATTATGCTGCTTTCTGTTGGCGTCACAGCCTGTGCTAGCATTAGCCAATCGGCGCTGGTTTAACCTAAAGTCCCACCGGAGCCCAACTGCGTACATACCACATAGGAGGGACTCTGTTGGGCCCCGTAAAAGTTCCTGCAAATGGCCCTGTGGGGAAAGTTACTGCAGTGGAGACATGCACCGACGGGGCTGGCCCTGGAAAATTACCCCGAAGTTTCTGCAGTGGAAATGCGGCTTTTGTGTAATCCTCCAGGATAAGAGCTTGTTTACAGAGAACATGCCAAAGTGACGGTCTTCACACCGACTGTGAGACTGTGACTGTGAGATACAAAAGCCACAGAGCAGAGAGGAGCAGAGAGGAGCAGAGAGAAGCAGAGAGGAGCAGAGGAGCAGACAGGAACAGAGAGGAGCAGAGAGGAGATAGAGAGGAGCAGAGAAGCAGACAGGAGCAGAGAGGAGCAGAGGAGCAGACAGGAGCAGACAGGAACAGAGAAGAGCAGACAGGAGACAGGAGCAGACGGGAACAGAGAGGAGAAAGAGAAGCAGACAGGAGCAGAGAGGAGCAGAGGAGCAGACAGGAACAGAGAGGAGCAGAGAGGAGACAGGAGCAGACAGGAACAGAGAGGAGCAGACAGGAGCAGAGAGGAGAAAGAGAAGCAGACAGGAGCAGAGAGGAGCAGACAGGAGCAGAGAGGAGCAGAGGAGCAGACAGGAACAGAGAGGAGCAGAGAGGAGACAGGAGCAGACAGGAACAGAGAGGAACAGACAGGAGCAGAGAGGAGAAAGAGAAGCAGACAGGAGCAGAGAGGAGCAGACAGGAGCAGAGAGGAGCAGACAGGAGCAGAGAGAAGCAGACAGGAGCAGACAGGAACAGAGAGGAGCAGACAGGAACAGAGAGGAGCAGAGAGGAGACAGAGAGGAGACAGGAACAAAGAGGAGCAGAGAAAAGAAAGAGAGGGGACAGAGAGGAGACTGAGACAAAGCACACGTCACGTCCACACCGTATGGAAGCTCCAACAAGCACAGAGGAGTCTTATGATGCTTTCAGACTGCCAACGCTGAAACGCGCATTCTCTAGACGCAGGGGTCTTCAGACCAGAGGTCCTCTTCCGCCAGAATTGGCGGAAGTAGCCGGCGGGAACTGATGCTAACAGAGTCTAGCTAGCGGCTTCTTGTGTACAGATCTTCTCCAATATTGCAGCTTTGCAGCGTGTCTGTGTTCAGAGACCTTCCACGGACGTTAACAGTAGTATGTGTTCACGGAGGTGCGCAATAAGTTTATTTTATTATTAAACGGTCCTTCCACATCGGCAAACACACTCGAAGCAGTTGCATGAAGTCACGGGAGCATGAAAACTCACATGTTAACAAGCACTATTGTCAACCCCGGTTTAGTCCTGATGTAGCTCCTGTTTTGGCTGTTCACGAGTATTTTCAGTCTGCTCGCTCAGACTGCTAATTCCCGTGACCATTTTGCGGCTCTCGGATTGGTCGCTGCACGAGCATCCCGAGGAAAGGTTGAGCAAAATTCATCTCCTGCGTTCCTCCCCTTAGACTTCCCTGCGCAGTCCGTGCGTGCATTCCGAGACGCTCGTGTGTTTTGACGCTCGAACGCGCGTCACCATTGACTTTGCATTGAAAGCCGACGCAACGCATGATCCGGTTTGAACGCAGCTTTAGACCGGATCATATTCACACTCAGAGCAGACCATATAAAACTAAAGTATTGTCCATAAAAAAAAGTTTTGGGCACATCCGCTCATACAACTGAATGTCCTAATTTCCCCAGATATTCCTTTAGAATCAAAGTCAAAAGTGACCACCATCACAAATGTAAGATGTGTTGTTGACCTCCTGTAGTCATCTAATATTTCAGTTAATTACAGAACTGTAATTAATTCCAGTCCCAGCAGCACTAACACCACCTAAAAAAGGTGCTCCTCTCTGCTCATGTCTGCTCCTCTCTGCTCCCCTCCGCTTCCCTCCGCTCACAGGTCTCTCCAAACGGGCTGTAAAATAGCTGCAATATATTCAAAATGCTACAGCTCAAGTCCAGACTAAAACCAGGAAGTACCGTCACATTAGTCCAGTCCTCAGGTCTCTGCACCGACTTCCTGTGGATCAGAAAATAGATTTTAAAACAGCTCTGATTGTTGTCTCTACAGGGCCTCGCACCAAGGTACATACATGACATGTTAGTGTCATATGAACCAACTCAGAGTCTGAGGAACACAGGGATGGCCTCCTGCTGGTCTCAGAGACAGGATTAAACATGAGGAGGCAGCATCTAAAATCTGGAACAATCTTCCTGAAATGTGAGACAAGTCTCTTTGTGACATGCAAATTTCTCTGGAGAGATCAATAAAGTTCATCTCATCTTATCTTCTCTGACATTGTTTAGATCCAGATTAAAAACAGTTCTGTTAGGCTGTACTACAACTGAGGGATTTTATATTTTTATTTTTTATTTTCAATGCACTGTGATTATTTATGATGTTAATGCCTTGTCTAATCTTGTTTAGTTCAGCACTTTGAGATACTTGTGCCATACAAATATACTTTCTTTGTCTAATAGAGAAACATAATGGTTTGGAACATAAGAAACATGCTTTTGTATCTGTTTTGTTCTAAAATACTGCTGTTTAGTCCTGGCGTTTCAGTGACTTAGAAACCTGTGGGCCGTTTAGAGCATGATGAGGTCTGGGTAAAGCTTTGATCTTAGAATGCAGTCCCATCATAATAAGTACCCCTTCATTGTTCCCACCACTGCAATTATTTCAAGTGGTAAAAATGCAAGAAGTGAACACAACAGAGCAATTTAGTAGAAAAAGCAGGAATTATAGATTTAATAGGCCAACCAACATCCATTTAGAAACTGCCATTAACAGGCACAGTTTCTAAATGGATGTTGAACTGCAGTGGCTACGCTCTATTTGATGTTAAACAAGTAAGATTAACAACTACAGTATTTGCAAAAGTTCATTGATAAAATGATACAATTGTGCAGCTGCAGAAAGATTATAAATACAAGGCCTTTAAACTGTACGTCTGTAAACTTTGCACAGGGACAGACTCGGATTGGTTTTCACCCTTTTCTACACAACAGCTACAAAACAGAGCTTTTCTTTGGGTCATTTAAACTCTTCCATCAAGTTGAAAGTTACTAGTTGGATCTGTTACTGTGATTCAGCAACATCAGACATCAGAGAGAGAGGTCAGAGAGAGAGAGAGAGAGAGAGAGAGAGAGAGAGAGAGAGAGAGAGAGAGAGAGAGAGAGAGAGAGAGAGAGAGAGAGAGAGAGAGAGAGAGAGAGAGAGAGAGAGAGAGAGAGAGAGAGAGAGAGAGAGAGAGAGAGAGAGAGAGAGAGAGAGAGAGAGAGAGAGAGAGAGAGAGAGAGAGAGAGAGAGGTCAGAGAGAGGCCACAGAGAGGCCAGAGAGAGGTCATAGAGACAGAGACCAGAGAGAGAGGCCAGAGAGATGCCTGAGAGAGAGAGGTCAGAGAGAGGCCAGAGAAAGGCCAGCGAGAGACCAGAGAGAGGACGGAGAGAAGCCAGAGAGAGACGCCAGAGAGAGAGCAGAGAAAGACCAGAGAGAGACCAGAGAGAGGACGGAGAGAGGCCAGAGAGAGACCAGAAAGAGACCAGAGAGAGGCCAGAAAGAGACCAGAGAGAGACCAGAGAGAGAGACAGGGGAAAAACCAGAGAGAGAGGTACTGGATCAGTATCGCTTTGCATGTCATAGAAATATCTATTACTACCATGTGTGCTACACTAAACAGGTAAGACAGTCTGAAGGGCAGTGCATTCACATCTACTGGAAAGCGAGGCCACCCATGAACACACACAACCAACATAATTAGATTTTCTGTTCCTTCCACACTGTATTACCAAGGCCACAGACCAAGCCGTGAGTGCCAAACACATCCTGGTGCTGCAAAGAGGGCCACTGGGTTTGGAAAGTGACATTTGAAAAGCGGATGATTATACATAAGGAAAGCGGACAAAGGAGAGTAGGAAAAACAGCCGCTGCAGCCGCCTTAGCAGCGAGAGCAGCGCAGCCGTGCCATGGGATATTCAGGAGCTGCAGGTTCATGCGGTGAATAAATGAGGTGGAGAACCGCTGGTGGCTCCATGAATCACCAGGACTGTGCATGAGCCACTGCTGCTCAAACGGTGGGAACACATGGACGTGAGTGCGGACACATACACACGCCTCATTAGCCACAGGGACAATTAACCACATCCTGTACGAGTCCAGCCGCTCACCCAGAAACAGGTAACATATGACACATGCTGCATAACCAGGAAAAGGCGAAAAAAACTCATCTCACTGGGTTTCTCCTAATCACACTATAAAAGGACAATGTGGAATCTGACCTGCATATTTTGTGCTGTGGATCCCTGTTTTATCTGTTTTACTCCTAAACATTATTCTCTGAAGAACTGAACGTATTTGTTCTACCCAAATTGTTACTACAATGTCTATATCTTAAGCATGTGTCATTAATATCTCAGTTATGGACATTGATGCCAATCATAAAAAAGCTTCGTCTTAATTTGTTCCATCTGGAGGAACTCGATAATAAACCATCTACAGGTGCAATCGCCGCTGCCTTGTCTTAATTTCTCAACAGTCAAATAACACACATTTTTATCATGATGTATGATAATAATCAATAAGGGCGACAGTGTCTCATTGGTTGGGCATCGGTCTTTGAGCCTGAAGGTCGTGGGTTCGAGCCCTCCATGAGACCTTCTCCACCGACTCCCACTGATGACTGCTGTCGTTGTGTCCTTGGGCAAGACACTTAACCCCACTTTGCCTGAAGCCCCTGCTGGAAGATCAAGGCTATGCCATAGAGTGGCCATCCTCCTGTGGACTCACCACCTGGCACCTGCAGGAGGATCAGTGAGGGGCTGGTGCTATGTTTACTGGGTGGCATCTCTGGCCACCCCCCCGACCCAGAAATGGATTAAGGGGTAGAAAATGGATGGATGGATGTATGATAATCCATGTTGATACATGTACATACTGCAACAGATCATATCTGCGTATGTCTCAGGGTTCTGGCCTCTACTCCTCACTGTACATCCTGACTTCTTATAATAATAATAATAATAATGCATCGGTTTTATATAGCGCTTTTCTGGACATTCAAAGACACTTCACATGTGTCATTATTCATTCACTCCATACACGGTGGTGATAAACTACTACTGTAGCCACAGCTGCCCTGGGGCACACTGACAGAAGCGAGGCAACCAGTATGCGCCATCGGCCCCTCTGACCACCACCAACCATTCACACACACACCAGACTCATTCTGGGCAATGGGGGTGAAGTGTCTTGCCTAAGGACACAACAACAGTTTGGCACTTTACAGCCGCAGCCGCCCCACTGTGGCTGGTGTTCCCAGAGGTTAAGTGTCTTGCCAAGGACACAACAACAGTAGTCAGTGGGAGTCGATGGTGAAATTCTTGAGCGGGGCTTGAACCCACGACCTTGGGACTAGCCAACACCTGTGGGACTATCTTAAACTTGTGGGACTAGCCAACTGCTGTGGGTTGGCATCTTTGTTGTCAAGCATATTGAACTGAAACTGAAACAAAGGCTCACAGGCATCTCTGCTTAGGATGCCTAAGTGTCCGTCATTTTCAACAATATAAATAAATTAACATAAATTCCTGTGGGGACTCTCCTCGCAGTAAATACATGTAATATGTAAATGACCATGTGAATGTTGATGATCTCAGTGGCTGTAGCTCTGTGTGGATTATAACAGGTCTATTCTCAGTGTTAGGGAGTAACGGAATAGATGCAACACTGTTTTGTATTCAGAATACTCTTTTTGAATAACTGTATTCCGTTACAGTTACTACTTTAACGTCTAGTAATTAGAATGGGTGGGTGTGTGCGTACGCATGTGTGAATGTGTGCTTTTATGTCTGTTTGCGCATGAATCTGTGCGTATGTGCAAATTAGCATGGTTGTATTTCTAGAAGGTATTTGTAATTTGCGAGGAAAGTCCAAAAAGGCAATGATAAATAAATGTATTCAGAATAGAACCGACTACTATACAAAATACAGAATACTGAATACATGACCTAAAATCTAGCAGAATACATTTTCAAAGTATTCAACCCAACGCTGTCTATTCTACAGACTGAGCCCTGAAATAATGTGCCTCTATCATAGACTGTAAATGACAATACAGGGGAAATGTAACGGTGGCTGTAATGTCTACAATCAGTAAAATCTCAGCCAATTACAGATGTCTCATGATCATGTGAAACATTTCGAAGCAAGCTTTAAATCCAGCATGAAATATGAACCGCAGATTCATTACTCGGAGGGGGTTGACCCTACAGGAGGCGGGTCATGTGACCTGTCACAGGTGACATTCTAATCAAGTCTTCTCTAAATCTAAAGCCTGTTCTTTCAAACACAGACCTTCCTCTTCTCACTGCAGTGGATTAAGAACTGCTGCACATGAAAGAGCTTTTTAAAGAAAGACAGAGATTATCCGGCAGTCAATGTTCACATGTTTAAGATCACATTTAAGATATATTCACACAACTCTGACGTAGAGTTGTGGGTTAGAGTTAGAGTTAGGGTTATATATTATATTATAATATAATATTTAAAAAATATATACTATTTGATTAGATTCACAAACCCAGCACATTAGTCTTAATGCTTGAGGAGGCAGCAATCAGCAAGAAAATATAAACCAAAACAACGAGAGCAGGATCAAAGGCTAGAACCTGTCCATTTGAAAGGATTGCAGCTGATACAGATAATGAAAGACGAACCTCACAATTTTAGCTTCTGTTTGTCATTCAACCACATTACGGACATTGGTCTCTGCCCCTTACGGACCAATGGCTCTATGTGTATCATTGCAATTCCGGTATTTCAACTGTTTGATTCTCTGATCTGCCTTTGTAAAGTCCTCTGAGAAAGCTACAGTTGTGATTTAGGGCAATACAAATACATTTAACTGAATTGAGTCAACAGAGCAGTAGAAAGTTTCCTCGCTCTCTTCCTTCATGCAGCTTGCGTTGTCATGGCTATAGCGTTGGTTAACAATGACAATGTTTGCAGTTGTCGCTCACTTCCACCACAGCTGTGAACCAGGACAGATCTATGGTCTGATCTATGGTGCGCTGAGGTAACCCTGCCCTGCCCTCACCGCGGCTGCCAGCTCCAGTGGTCATGGAGACGGCAGTGTTCCTCTGTCAACAACAGACAAGACTGACAACTGTAGAGCTATTTCAGAGTTAAAGTGGGGAATTATTCTAATAACAAAATAACACATTTTCCTCATAAGCCACGGCTGTTTGCCATTGACACAGTAACTATGAAGCAGAAAGCATTTCACAAACACCGGGAAGAAGAACAAGCACAAATTAAATTAAATTCAATCTAATTTTTGTTTTGTCCTTTATCACAAATGCAGTTATCTCAGGATTTTTCAAAGCTGTCAATTCACCAACACAGATCAGTGAATCAAATAGTTGAAACACAGGAAACAAACACATAGAGCCATTAATCCATAAGGGGCAGAAACCAATGTCCATAAATGTGGTTGAATGTCAGTGTCCTGGACCATCTCGGTCTTCAGGATGTAGATTTAAATGTTTCTCCCTTTGGTTCAACTGTTACATAAAGACATCTCTAGTCGCACAAATTTACGCCTTCCCGCCAGAACCCGTTTCTGTCCAGGTCTTTATCTTCTTTTCCCATTCTCTCATGTGTCCTGCAGCTCATTCAAAGCAGTGTTTGCTGATGAGGCTGTAAAAGTCATTGGAGCAGCTGAGCAAACACTGATGGACCCCCACTGTCAGGAGACCCCCTAGTGTCCCTTCATAGTAGCACAATTACTGTACACTGGACCTAGACACGATCGCCATGGCGTTCGGGTCGCGAGGGCGATGGACGCGGTCGCCATGGGGTCCGGCGGGCCCCCAAGTGATATTATTCTATTGGGATGAGCGATCTGGACGATGCTTACCTCCTCAGTCTGTTTATTTTCTTGTTTAACGCAAAAAAAGTCATGGGAGGATTTATATTCAGGGAGAAACTTCCATTTTGAAGGTGATCAGAGGAAGCCTGAATACGTTGTCCTCACGAGTCTGAAAATGATCCAATTGGCTGCACCCCCGTCCCCGCCAGGGAGCCTCCTCAGCCTGGCCTCAGTCCTTGTTTTACAGTCTGAGTCCTATGTGTTATTATAAAGTAAGTAAATAATATTTATCTATATAGCGCCTTTCACAGATCAGAGTCACAAAGCGCTTTATAATTGTTGTGGGAATTTGTGAAAGTGAGTGTGAGTGTGTGCCGGAACTATTGTACATGTTTTTCTTGGTTGTGGAAAGAGGAGCACGCGGAGGAAACCTATGCAGACACGCAGTGAACATGCAAACGTTAACTGTATTAACTGTGTTTTCTTCTCTGATTTGCTGTAAGTGAATCGATAACTTTGTAAAGTCCTCCTGCTGTTGTGATTTAGGGCAAAACTAAATCGAATCGAAATGAAAAAATGAAGTTAAAAAACCCTTTGTACAGAGGGTTTTATAACTTGTTTTTGTTCTGTGGAATGCTGCTGTCATTCTGCTCCTTAAACATAAATGGTGTGAATCTGTGGAGGATCCAGAGACTGATCCAGTTTGTGAAGCAGAGAAAGACTTGGACTAAGACTTGGACTGTAGAGCTTCAGAGAGCAAACTATCACCTGAAGCAGAAGTGACCTTGGTCTGTAAAATGCACTAAATAAATAACGTGTATAATAATAATAATAAATTACGTGTGTGTGTGTGTGTTTGTGTGTGCGTGTGCATGTGTGTGTGTGTGTTACCAGCAGAGGCATGAGGAGGTCTGCTACATAAACAAATCCAGCGCCAAGAGTGAATCCCACAGCTACAGGAGCAAACGAGAACTGTCCGTATTTCCCAGAATCCTCGGCCAAACTGAGGGCAGGAGCCAGAAGGGACCAGTACGAAGCGGCTAGCATCACCTGAGGAGAGGAGGCAAGTTTATCTGTACAGCACACTTAAAACACAAGGCAACTTAAAGTGCTGAACAAAACAAGATAAATATAATCACAAAGGCATTAAAATAATAAATAATCACAGAACATTAAACAGAGTAAAGATAAAATCTGACAGTGGGGCGACAGTGGCTCAGTTGGTAGTAATTCCTTTTTTGTATTTAAGAAAACATTGTCTTTACTCTTAACCCCACGTTGCCTGAAGCTCCCACTGAAAGACCAAAGCTGTGTCACCGCTGACGGTGCAGCCATCCTCCTGTACACCCACCACCTGCCGAAGGATCAGCGAGGGACTGGTGCTATGAGCATTGGGTGGCAGCTCTCATTGCCCCCGACCAGTGATGGGAATAACGCCGTTACTAGTAACGCCGTTACTTTTTTCAGTAACGAGTAATCTAACTAATTACTTTGACTGTAACTATAACGCCGTTATCATTTCCGACATCCCGTTACTGCGCGTTACTCAAGAAGCACAATGAACTTCTCTTTTTACTTTGTGATAGGACTCGTGCGTGTGTTGTCATGAGAGAAGGGAGGATGAGAAAACCTCTCAGCAATTATTGGCTGATGTAAAACATATTTCCTTTACAATCTACATGTCTACAGTTGAGAGGATGGCTCATAAATTGTGTTTTTGAAACAAATATGGGTCTTAATCGCGCTCAACCACGGCGTGTATCACCGTGAGGCCTCAGAGGAGCGCATGTAAGCGCAGAAGGCTGCATACAATTCCATCGAAAAGCTCCTTTCTCCTCCTGGTTTATCTGCTACGGGCAGCAACAGGTTTGGCTAACATACATATAACACATTTTAAGATAATTTAAAATGCACTTAGGGTAATTTTTTAATGACTATAGGAATAATAAGAAAGAAAGGTGAAATGTAAGACGGTTGATTTTAGAAATTGGATGCACCCGGCTGCAGCAAAACAGAGGAGTTTATGGAGGACACACGCGTTTTGTTTTACTTTTTAAAACTCATTGGACTCATTGCCAAATGGAGGATTACATATCTACGCTCAAACTATTATCTGGACTTAAACAAGGAACTGGTCTGAACAGAAGTGGCCTGTGCAGGTCATTTATAAGGTAAGACCCATAACCCATAGTTTTGCGTTTTGTATGAACAAACAATGCGGGCATGAAACATATTCTGCTGTAGCCAACCAAATTGTCCACTTGATTTATAAGATATATATGTTCATCTGATTGGGCTGAAGTCAGTGCTTCACCGGTGTTTCCACATTCACAGTGGCGGGTGTTTGTGTTTAGTGCTTACAGCACAGAGAGAGATGGAGAGTGAACAGGACTTCAGCAGCAAAACAGCCTGTTCTAGATGGAAATATTGGCACTATTTCAGACTCACTGAGGTTAAAGGTAAAACTGCGCACATCGAGTGCACATTATGTTCCAGAACAAAACGAAAAAGTAACGCAATAGTTACTTTTACTGGTAACTAGTTACTTTTATAGTGGAGTAACTCCGTTAGTAACTCAGTTACTTTTTGGGAGAAGTAACTAGTAACTATAACTAATTACTTTTTCAAAGTAACGTGCCCAACACTGCCCCCGACCCAGAAATTGACTAATAAAAAGGGTTGAAAATGAATGAATGAAAGATAAAATTCCTCAGCTGTGCAAGCTAAACAGAACTGTTTTAAACTGGATTTGAACATTGTCAGATAAGAAGCCTGTCTCACATTTTCATGAAGACTGTTCCAGATTTTAGCTGCAAAAATAGTGCTGCAGTGGGCACAAACAGCAAGCCCGTCCATGTACTCCTGTTAGTCCTAGCAGGAGGCCAATCCCTCCGCAGGTTTTTGGTGTAAGTCATTGTCATCTCTCGAGCAGATAACGTGTCAAACACGGATCATACGTTTCATGAAAAACCAAAGAATCTTTGACAATAAAGAAGCTGTTCTTATGAAATAGAGTTTGTGGAGGTCTCTCTGTGTCTTCGTTCCTGTTTCACATGTTTGAACCGAACACAAATGTACCTGATCTTGCAGAGCAGACCCCAGCCCTTGTTAGTGGTTTTCTGATTAGAATCGTTGATTAAAGCACAATCTATAAAATTAATCGACAAAGGTCGACTCTCTAATGTCTGGTTAAAGTTTGACTGGAGTAATTTGCTTCATATTTACAACAGGTGTTTGGGTCCCACTGGGAGCAGACCCAGCACAGACTGGTGTGTCTCAGCTTCGGAACGCCTCAGGATTCCCCCAGATGAGCTGGAGGAGGACCCAGGAACAGATCAAACGGAATAAAATGTATGCATGGATGATGCAAACATGTAGAAGCACATTCTCTGTACTTATACGCCAGTACATATACTGCTGTATAAGTACTACAGTATATACAGTCCTTCAGCCTGATGCAGAGACACAGATGGGTGAACTGGAGGAGGCTTAGTTCCAGCCCTCGCTTGGACACACACTGTTCAATCAGTGAACTGGATAATGATCTGCCATTTGCTCAGTCTATAGCAGGGACGTGCAGTCAGGGGAGGCAGGGGAGGCAGAGCCTCACCTGCCATTATTGGAAACTAATAATTATTTTAGTTTAAATATATAATTTATATCCACTGTCCTATGCTTTTAATGTATATTCGGCACGGTTCCCATCAGTTTTGATCATTTCTGAAGTCAAAATCGCCGAAATCCCGTTATTCCTATTCAAAGAGACGAGGTGAGGCAGCGCTCCTGCGTGCCTCACCCCAGACTGCTCCCTCACAGTGTGTGTGTGTGTGTCTGAGTGCACTCAGCTCGTGCAGTTGATATATCACCGTTTGTTTCAAATATCCTGCTTTAAAAACATTTTTTAAACTCCTCTTAGTGTTTAGTAGTGTATTGCACGTATGTGTGTACAATTTATATTTAGTTTAAGTCTTTTGATCGTAGATGAACACACAAGGAAAAAGCTTGGCGTGAGGCAGGCGGTATCTGTGCCTCACCGCTAGGGGTGATAGTGAGCATAAAGTTCATACCAGAGTTGCTAACAAACAATCAGCCCAAAATGCTATTTCTTTTGCTGGAAAATGGATGATTTGAATGAAGATTTTTTTTCTCAATTGGACTTTCAAACAAAGAAAGAATTAATATAGACTGGGAGACCACCACTGGACTTACGAGGTTAGTCCGGCTGCGGGGGAGGAGTTTGTTAATCTGTGTTTTATGTTGAACATTGACAGATACCGGCAAAGTAGTGCTTTTCCGAAAAACACTGATTCAAACACTGCTCAAGAGTTCTGCAACTTGTTTAAATTATTGTTTATGTTCCTCGCGTCTCTCTCTCCTCGCGTCTCTCTGCTCCTCGCGTCTCCGTCTCTCTCTGCTCCTCGCGTCTCCGTCTCTCTGCTCCTCTCTCTGTCTCTCTCTGCTCCTCGCGTCTCCGTCTCTCTGCTCCTCTCTGTCTCTCTCTGCTCTCTCTCCTCGCGTCTCTCTCTCTCTCGCGTCCTCTCGTCTCTCTCTGCTCCTCGCGTCTCCGTCTCTCTGCTCCTCTCTGTCTCTCTCTGCTCCTCTCTCCTCGCGTCTCTCTCTCCTCGCGTCTCCGTCTCTCTCCTCGCGTCTCCGTCTCTCTCTGCTCCTCGCGTCTCCGTCTCTCTGCTCCTCTCTGTCTCTCTCTGCTCCTCTCTCCTCGCGTCTCTCTCTCTCCTCGCGTCTCCGTCTCTCTCTGCTCCTCGCGTCTCCGTCTCTCTGCTCCTCTCTGTCTCTCTCTGCTCCTCTCTCCTCGCGTCTCTCTCTCCTCGCGTCTCTCGCACCTGCGCTTCTTAAAGATGTTGTTTGATGCGGAGCAGAGTCAGCAGCTAGATTTGTTGTGAGATTATTAAAAGAAGCTGGTTCTCTTATCTTTACAGTATATAAAGTTTGTGGATGTCATTGCATTGGTGATTAAATGCTATTTTATTTGAATAATGATTGTAAATCTGACTTTTAAAGTCAGTGCCTCCCCAATCACAAACCTCACCGCACGTCCCTGGTCTATAGTAGGACATTTAGGACAAATAAAATAACAAAAATCTACGTTATTCTAACAATCAGGTATTGGAACATTCTCATTCTGTAAAATGTTAGATATTTCAAATTAGGTCTGTGACAAGTTTATTGATTGATGGCAATTTTAATGATTGATTAATTGTTTGGACCATGCATAAACTTAACCATGCTGATGTTTCAGATCATTCTATAATTAATCAAATTAAACGTGTTTTAAAGTATCTTAATCATAATCTTTCTATTGTCTTTCAGCTAAAGGTTCTTCTGGTCTCTGGTGTGGCATTTGTTGGTAGCTGCTTTTCATTGGTTCTATTGATGTAGATCAACCTCCAACCTGTGGCTCGGGGCTACCAGTAGCTTGCCAACCTCTTTCAGGTAGCTTACCAAAGCATTACAGCAGAGAAAGGAAATAAGAGCACTCAGATTGCACACATCAAATACTCTATTATTTAAGATAATAGACAGTATAATCAAAAATAAGATAAAGAATAAAATAAAATAAAATAAACTCTGGAGCTATAATTGCACTTGGTTCAGGAGTATTTACAGATGTGTACATTGTCCTTAAGCAGAATAAACATCAGTAATAATATCAACAGGTAAAAGTGACTAGTGAATGACAGAGTTATCAGATGGATATGTAATAATGTAGTAATATAATAACAGGTAAAGTGACTAGTGACATGTGTTCTCTGTTCTCTCGTAATCATTAGATTACGACTTCTTCTACTATGACTGTAAAAAGGAGTAGCTCTCAGCCTCTTCTTTTGGATAAAAGTAGCTTTCCGATTGACCCCTGATGTAGAGGCTATGGTAACAGAGGGTAGAGGGTAAGGTAACGGGGGTTCTCCTCTCCTTGGGTTCAGAATGTTTAAGCAGGTGTTTGAGAACAACTACCTGCCCTTCCTTTGGCCCTTCAGACCACCAATTATTCACACTCAGGATTGATCCAGTTTTAAACATATCAATTGTAA